TTTTCCATTAATTGAAGTGTCCTGCTACTTAATCTATTTTCTTTGGTTCTTAGTTTTTTGGCGGTTTTCATTCCCGCTTCTAAGAGTTTTTCTTTCATTTCTTTATTAATTTTATTAATTTCCGACTCTTCCTTTCCTAATTGGTGTTTATAGTTTTCCCTTAAAGCTTGTCTATATTCTTCTGCGTTTTGTTTTATTCTGCTATGGTCAATAGCCGTTGGTTTTCTTCCGGCTTTCTGCATCTGTAGTTTGTTTATTTCTATTTTGGCTCGTAGTATGCGGTGGTCGCTGCCAGTTGAGAATTTATTAAGTGCAGTTACGTCTTCGAAGATTTTTGTATTTTGGCAGAGGAAGTAATCTATTTCATTTTTTGTCACCCCATTTGGGGAGACCCATGTCCATTTTCTGTTTGGCTTCTTATTAAAGTATGTGTTTATTGCATGAAGGTTTTGTTGTTCTAAGTATTCTAGTAGTTTCTCACCCCTACTATTCCTTGTTCCAAGTCCATAGTTTCCTATTTTGTTTTCTGACTCTTCCATTTTCTTTCCGATTTTTGCGTTAAAATCTCCCATAATGATCGTTGTTTTTATGTTTTTGTCTTCCATTGCTGTGGTGATATCCTCATAAAATTTGTCAATTTCTTCCTCCTCGTGTGTTGTTGTTGGGGCATATACTTGTATTAGTTTCATTCTTGTCTTCCTGTTAATTTCTAGTATTATGTATCCTACTCTATCTGATATGCTCTTATACTCGATTACGTTTTGTTTAATTTTCTTCTTGATCAGGAATCCTATTCCTCCGTATGTTTCTTCCTCCTTTCCTTTGTAATATAGGCGATTTCCTGATTCTAGTTCTAGACACATTTCTCCTCTTCTTTTGACCTCTGACAACCCTACAATGTCCCATTTGATTTTAGTTAATTCCTCTTCGAGTTCGTACAGTTTTTCATCTTGAGCCATGGATCTGATGTTATATGTCGCTATGTGTATTTTGTTGGGTTCTTTCAGTTTCGGTTTTCTCTTATTTGTTCTTGTCGAGCTTTTGCCTCCCCCAGAATCCGTGAGGCTGATCGGTTTCCCGATGTGGGATTCCGGATTTCTCCTACCCACCTGGGGTACATTTCCTTTTTGTTTTAAATTCGACATAGTTTGGGGAAAAATAGCCTTAAATCACCACGCTGGCCAGGCGGGTTGGTGATTTGTTCGTGTCTGTTTTAGCTTGCGTGAAGGAGGAGCTCTGAATTGAGTAGGGGCCCTTCTGTACTTCACGGAAGACAAATGGGCGGGGGAATCCTCAACCTCGACACGACGCGTCCCAATGGCTGATAGGGAACGTTCCTATAGATATATAGGACAGGTGTGAATAAGGTCTTACCAAATAAGCACCCGCGGATCAACTGAGGATATGGCATAGGGCAGCAGCTATGTCATTAGTGATTCAAGGCTGAAGGAAAATAACCTCCTCTCAGGTTTGATATCACATATTCACAGGCGGCAATCACATAATGATTTAACCGGCTGTGATACTGCGGTTACAAATCACAAATCAAATTATATTAGAGGATATTAAACTTTTGACTATTTCACCCATCTTAAAATTTTCACATAATCTGACCAATCACAAACCAAAGACAGCTTGTGTTATCGCGAAAACACCAACTGTCTTTCAATTCTGATTGGTCTATCAGCTTCGTGTTTTCAACGACGTAACCATGGATACCGACCGCAAAGCAAAGTTTGACGTTTGAAAAAAACATTAATGTAGCTGTATAGGTCAAAATTATTTATAGTTATAATAAATATTTCATGATTATGACCAATTGTGAATTATTCAAAAAATGGGTAGATTCGGGTTACCTAGATCAAATGTATTATTATTAAATTCCTTCCTCTCATTTTACTGAATTTTTGACCTATCACTTTGTTCATGAAATAGTCAAATAAAATACCACTCGTAATTGAAAATTGAATCACTAGTGGTATTACTATTGAAAAGTGTGATTTTCATATAAAAACATTATAACTCAAAAAAGTATTAACAAAAATTGTTTAGAGTAACTTAAATATTTTTAAAATTAAAATATACATATATATATATATATATATATATATATATATATATATATATATATATATATATATATATATATATATATATATATATATATATATATATGTTAGTTTGAAGTGTTTCACGGATGGAGTAATATGTTGAACAATTATTCCGGGAAAATATCCGTTGGTCATTTTTTAATTGCAGACGTTTCGCCAAGGTCTCACTTGGCATCTTCTGTGCGTTGTCTTCGGTCTCGTAGTCGGTAACTGAATGAGCTGCGCTCAGTCCTCACTTCTTTTATATCGTGCGCTGTTCGAGCGGATCGTCGCTGATTGGCCGTATTCGTTACGCCGCTCCGCCCCGCCCCCGCCCAGGGGGCGGGGCCTAGCGGCGTAACGAATACGGCCAATCAGCGACGATCCGCTCGAACAGCGCACGATATAAAAGAAGTGAGGACTGAGCGCAGCTCATTCAGTTACCGACTACGAGACCGAAGACAACGCACAGAAGATGCCAAGTGAGACCTTGGCGAAACGTCTGCAATTAAAAAATGACCAACGGATATTTTCCCGGAATAATTGTTCAACATATATATATATATATATATATATATATATATATATATATATATATATATATATATATATATATATATTATATATATATATATATATATATATATATATATATATATATATATATATATATATATATATAGAGTGTCCTATTAAAAAAACGAAGTTAAAAGCAACTTTCGGTGTAACCGGAAGTAACCAATATTTTAATTATTGAAAATATTGGCTACTTCCATAAGATGAAAACATTTTTATTAAATAGGTCATTCATCAAAACCCCTTTATTCAAATTTTTATGGTTCAGTTACTTTTAGTTTTCGAGATATTTATAATTGGCGCATTTATCTGCCGCACCCTGTATAGTATCTCCAATCGCTGAAAAATTATCTAAGAAGGCAAGAAATAAAAGTAGTAATAGTAGTATACTATATAGAAGAGGAATAAAAGTAGTAATAGTAGTATACTATATAGGATAACGATGGTGATCCTTACAAGTCAAAATAACCGTAATAAACAATAATCTTTTACATTTTCATACCTAAAAACCGCTTTAACCATTACATTTTAAAGATATCTACATCACCAACACAGTTCTAATTTTTATATTTCTTAGGAATTAGTCACAGCTGTGCTTGTATAAATTTTAATTGACATTTAGATTTCCAGCTGATAAATAATTTTCTTTTATTTAAAAAATAGAACACATTTCCGAGATGAAAATCGAAGCGTCATATTAAATATGTCACAGTACATTTGTGGCTGAGTTCCTGAAATACGTACACTAATTAAAGCTTAAAATGACAACTTTAGAACTAACTACCGTACACTGCACTGAATCACTTCGAAATCTATCGGAAAATGTTTTATTATTATCTAAAACAACAATTTATACTTAAATCCCAATCAAATCTGTAAATTGTTAATGGATAGCAGATAATTGAATCGGTCACAAATCAGTAATTATTGAGGAATCGATAGTTTTCAGTTGGTCTATTATTTTTGCTTCCGTTCTCTATCCTTCATAACAGGTTGAAGGTAACAATGAAAGATTTTTATTAATATTAATATTTTTTATTTATTAAACAGAAAGAAATATATAGCAATAATTTCATTGTTCTTCTTTTCCTACCATGTCCATTACTGAACGTTGGCTGTCGAATTGGTTACCATAATTTTGTTTAACATAGCTCTAACGGAGGACGACGAAGACTGATTAAACCATACATTCAAATCAAAATGTAATTTGGTACAGGTTGGAATAAATTTATAATAAAAAATACGTGAAGAGAAAATATATTTTTAAGAAAGTATATCATTTGTATAGCGGGATCATTGTTCAAATAATGAAAAATGGGCCATTTTAGATTTTTTCAGAAGGCTTTTAGCTAGGCTTACACGAAGTCATCATCATCCAGCCCCATTTTCACATCCATTGTTGGATATAGGCCTCCTCCAAACGTCTCCAGTTCTCTCTATCTCTAGCTGCTGCAATCCAGTTTGTTTCTATTCTCCTTACAGGAAGTACAACACATCAAATACCCCTGAATCTCGAGACACCTATAGAAGAATACGAAATGAAACTAAGCAGTTGGTAAGAAGAACAAAAAATGAACACTGGGAATAGTTTACACTGGGAACAAGAATATACAACAGATGTGAAAGAGACATTAGCCCCACACAGTTCGGTTTCAGACAAGGATTTGGCACAAGAGAAGCACTTTATAGCTTAACTGTCCTACTTCAGAAATGCAGAGATCAGCAGAAATATGTCTTCCTATACTTTATAGATTACCAGAAAGCATTCGATTGTGTTAATCATTCAGAATTAATAAGATTGCTCCAGGAACGTTCGATAGATGAGAATGACCTTAAAATCATAAAGAGCCTTTATATGAATCAAGTGGTATCTTTGAGAGTAGGACTGGAATCTACATCATATTTCTCAATCGAAAAAGGTGTACGACAGGGTTGTGTTCTACCACCCCTCCTTTTTAATCTTTACTCTGAAACGATTTTCGATAGAGCCTTAAGTGACACTGAAGAGGGAATTAAAATCAACGGATACAATGAATAAAATATTTCTATTCCTCAAGCTGGAATACAAGACAAGAAGCATTTAATAGTGCTAAATATCGAATACGAATCTAATTCTTGATTAAACTGAAACGTAGTATGTTCTCGTCAAAGTGTAACAGATAAAAGACAATAATTTAACGAGAAATGCGCAGAACTTAAGGATGAGTTGATGAATATTAGTATGTATTATTGTTTTTTTTTAATATTGTTAGTATTATAATAAACAAACATAAAGGGTCTTGCTTTTTTTAAGTACAATATAAGCAAATTATTGAAATACAGTATACAACTTACCGCATATTGACAAAAGGACTTGCCGAATCCGTGTTATCATCTCCGGTACTTCAGGTGGTTCTGCCTTCTCGTTGTTTAAAGAGAAGCGATATGTGATGATTTCTTTTTTCGTATAATCCTTTTTATTCAAGAGCTCCATATTTGCACTTGTTTCTGTTTGATCTGAGGTTAGCATGTCTTATCTGAAAATCAACACAGTTTAAAAGTAGCTTCCTTAATATTAATTAACAATAATTAAGTTATGTTTGCGATGATTTGTTTTTTTAACCTATGGTTACCGATGGGTAGCGTTAGTTCAAATGTTTGATGAATTTTTATTTCGTAGATTGTAACATAAAATATCAAGAATGAAAACGTATATCAAAAGTCCCTTTTCTAATCGTTCTGAAACTATAATGTATTTAATGCACATAAAGTACAATTTTATTCGAAAATACGTTATATGTTACGTTTAGGTTTTCACTTCGGGACTTGTTCCGTTAAACAAATCGTTTTGTTTTGTTAATAGTAAATTATAAAGAGAGGACTCAAAAATGATATTTTCAATATTTTGGGCTACCCGCCTGGTACGACTTTATTAAAGGATTCTTGTTCTTAATGTGACATCTTCTCTAATAACGTGGGAATCATCACGGTAATTCGCACTTTCGATACCGCTGCTTTAAAGGGATTAGCAGAAGTACAGCCAAACCAAACTCTCAAATTATTTATCTTAGACATGAGCGTCTTCCAGGACTCATTCTATCCTGTATTTTTACTTATAAGTAATTGCAGTGGAGTTCAAAGGAGTAGTGATGCGCAATACAAGCTGTTGATTCCTGATAATAGCTCTAGCCACTCCTACTCAATTCCTATCCTCATATCCAAGAAGTGTGACTTAATCACACGTGTGAACCCCGGCAAACCTGAGCAACCTTACCGGAGATTGGGTAACCAACTCCGGTTGAAAGTAGGGTCAGGGCTGACGAGGAAGGGAGAAATGGTCCTCCGAAAAGCCATTCTTGTAAAAAAAAGTACTACTACGAAACCTTCAGATAGGCCTCGGAATGGACGGATATCAACATGGCAACGGAATATGGAATTTATGCCGGGAACATGGAATGTCAGAATATTAAATAGACCAGGAGCACAGAGGATCCTTCTACACGAACTGAAAAGATATAAAATAGGAATCACTGCAGTACAAGAAACTAAATGGTTGGGAAAAGGTATCCAGGACACTAAAACACACACTATACTGTATAGCGGTAAAGATAAATGAAATAAAGAATTTGGATTATCCTTTATCGTAGATAATAAAATGAAGCACCTGATAACAGACTTTCAAGCTATTAATGAAAGAATTTCTTAACCTTATTACATATATCGATCCCGTTTCTCGTTTAAGCTTTAAATCCTGTTTACTACACCCTGACTCACTCCACACGTTTTTGCGATTTCTCTTACACAAAATAGGATAAAACAACACAAACTTAGTGATAAATGTCCTTAAGAACCCTCTAATAAAGGACAAAGAAAAGTAAGGTTATGTTTTCAATGCTCGGTCAGTTGTAAATGTGTGGACAGTATTGCCAACTGTGAATATTGAAAAATGTCACAATGATTCCATTATTTCACACACTAATGTAGCTCAGATACTTGTGGAAAAATCATCAATGGTCGACGGAAACGATACGAGGTGACATCTAAATTCACTCCAGCATCGCCCTTGATATGACGCAGTTGTAGACGAAACGTCACAAATAAGAAATTCCAGAGCATGACATGTAAATACGCTTGTGAAAGCCTATATGAGCTGTACCGTTATGGCACTATACGTTATAACTAGAATGTGGCGCGATTATAACGCATCGGAATTGTAGAACGTATGATGTTCTACTAAAATGTTTTTGTTTTGTTTTTTGATATTATGAATGCAATATAAAAAATGCAAAATAAAACGTAAATGCAAAAAAAAGACGCACAAAAGTGTACAGTTTTGGTTTTAGAAATTTATAGAAACAACCCAATACAATTGGTTGAGCAATACAAAAATGTCAAATTTTTAAAATAACCAAAATCAATACAAATAAAAATAGGTAAAGAAATAATAGATAAGACTTATTCACAATCAATTTAATTTAACTATCAGATAACCGATTTCGCTTTCTACAATATGCAAAGCATCTTCAGGTCTCGATACAAAGTTAAATAAATGATGCCGGTACTCTATTAATTGATGGATGGTAGAACACGGTTGAAACTACTATGTATTGGTGAATGGAGAACTCAATGTGCCCAAGACTGAAATGTAGTGCATAAAAGTCCTTCCCCTTTTAAATTTATTGTTTGTTTCGTCCCTTCTAAGTGTTTTCTCTTTTAGTGGGTTCTAAATTGTCCTTAATTGTTTTAATTCTAATATTTTATTTACTCGACTTTGCAATAATCTACTATTTTGCCAATAGAACTTTATCAAAGAAATTTGATAATTGCAAGTTAAAAAATAATTGCACACCCACACAATTTGTACATCTAAACTTATTCATTGTCATAAAATTGTAACTTCATAAAACAATTACTCAATAAATAACACACATTTCATAAATATATCTCGAATATATATAAATAAGTATAAATAACTTTTAAATAATACAATGGTATATAACATCACTTTCATTTAACAAACAATCACACACATATCTCTGCTTCATTGGATCAAATCTATCTCATCAAGAACTTCCCGTTTACTATTAAACAACTACAATAGCAGAATTGAGTTCTCCATTCAACAATACATAGTAGTTTCAACCATGTTCTACCATCCATCAATTAATAGAGTACCGGCATCATTTATTTAACTTTGCATCGAGACCTGAAGATGCTTTGCATATTGTAGAAAGCGAAACCGGTCGTCTGATAGTTAAATTAAATTGATTGTGAGTAAGTCTTATCTCTTATTTCTTTACCTATTTGAAATGGACTCACACAAGCAACACATTCATGATTTCAATACAAATAAATTACAAAAATAATACAGCCGTTATTCGACCAGGAAAATATACATTTTAAAGATAGTTAAAAAGTTATAAATTGCAAAAAATAGATTAAAGAACGTAATTGTACACTAAATTTCTGATAAACACTTTGTTGCTTTCTTTCAACAGTTTTCCTTGTAGCGAAGTGTTCAAAACTTGAACTTTGACGTTGTATCTCTATTTAACCCTGCAAAAAGCTAAAATACGTTAAGCTGTCCGTGACCAAACACAGATTCAGGTAAATAAATCCCAACACGTTACAGATATCGTCAACTGCTACAGAGATAGTAGTAGTTTTTGCGGATAGATGGTGCTGGGGTTTTCATTACGGAAAGACAGACAGAATAAGCAAATAAGCAAATTAATAAAAGTACATTCCTTGAAAACATAAGTAGTTGATCTGTAGGAATATATAAAAATGACTATTACAGAGACCAAATGTTATACGAGATACATGCACCACAATAAATAAACATAACATCTATTACATACAAAAGTATGTAAGAAAAAAAAACAAAATTGTTTTAGTTCACGATCGAAAATAAAATGTTTCGGTATAAACATATACAGGTGAAATGAAAGGGATTACTCATGTTATGATCAAGTACAAAATGGTAGGTTGATTATAAAGTGGCTAATGTGTGAAAAGTAAAAAGGTTAAAAATAATTGATTTACCTATTTGAAGAGAATTTTGTGTATTCTATTTTTAATTAAAAATCTCTGCGTCTTTAGCGCACGAAACAATCAATAAAACCAACAGAACTTTATGGCTGCCCATATATAATACCGTGTGTTAAAATCATAATCCATTTTTAAATACCTTTAGCAAATAAAGATTCTAAGACACTCGAAACATATTTGCGAATAGTGTTATAGATAACCAAGATAATATATATTGTGTCACGCTATGAATTGGTTAATTATAGAGATATTTATTTACGCATTCCACAATAAACTTATGTACAAGTACTACTGTACGTCACAAAAAATCTGTAGGTATTTTAAGAAGAATTATTATAAATCTTTGATTAAATATTAATTTACTTTCAGCCTCTATCTCTGTATCTTTAAAAACGCCGTGCAATAAACCACCATCTGTTTAAAAGCAAATATTTGAAAGTAACAGAAAGATTATTTATTACAGTTCTTCATCTATTTTTTTCGCGTTTTCATAAATATTTATCAGATTTATGGGCTATATATGTAATGTTATGTTTTAGCAGCTTATTGGAAAAGGTTCTTCATCACATTCTTGGCACAGAGAGAGACAAAAGTCTAATTGAAAGAGCTATATCTGTCAATCTAGTTTGCCAAAATCTAATTCAACCATCGAACAAACCCTTATCACAAATTTTAAGATTTTTCTCACCAAACTAGATAGATAGATAGACAATTTTAGTCCAGTCTTGATGTCATTTGATCTTGAATGGCGAGCTACCCCAAATTACCAATACCCGTCATTTTAACTTTTTCGACTAAAATAAGAACTGAAATTGTTGGAATTGCGATTTCCTATTGCTTCCTATGTTACATTGCGTAATGTAACATACTAATTCTAGTATTGATAAGCACTCAGCAACAAGCATAAAGATGACAACTCAGGAATTTTGAGTAGGTTAGGTAAAAAGTGTAAAGAACGGTTAAGAGGCAGTTGCTTCACCCCTTAAATGTAACAGCAGTTGAATAGTTACTTCCACAAGACTTTTGTGATTTACTTTTAGAGGAAAATGGACGGGACGTAAACCTTACAAAGAATCTTTTTTTCACCAACGATACAACCTTTATAAGAAATTTTGTCACTAATCATCACAATACTTACATCTGGGCCATAAATCCTAATGGCAAAAAACAGCGTCATCATCAGAGTAATTTCAAAGTAAACGTTTGAGCTGGAATTGTCAGTAATTATTTAGTAGGGCCAGTATTTTTTTCTTATAATTTAAACGGAGACAATTAATTCTCATTTTTAAAAAATGATCTTCCTCTACTTAGAAGACGTACCGTTAGCGATCAGACAAAGTATGTGGTTTTTGCATGGTGCTCTACCTCATAATAACGACAAGGTAAGGACATTTTAATTTCAACAATATCCAGCACTTTGGATAAGAAGATGCATTAATTGGATGGGCACCGTGTGGTCCAGATTTTAATCCAATGAATTAATTTT